AAAAAAAAAGGTAAAGGACTTATCCTAGAAGCGCGCGTGGCCGGCCACCCCGCATCCTTCCACAGATCACGTTCAATCTCAGTCGTCAGCAGCAGGGAATACCTAAAATCGAACTGCCGCTCTTTCCTCCCGCTCATGTATTCATCCGCACCGAAGGGTGGCGCTACTATCGCTTTGACTATTCACACCTGTGAATGAATCCATTCTCAAGTAGGGGTGAAGGAAGGAATATTGGAAGGTGTTGAAGGATAGGGGTGTAAGTGAAAATCAGATGGGGTTGTTGATTAAAGTAAAAAAATATAGATTAAAAAAAAATGAGATTATTTAAATTAAACGCGGTGCCCAAAAAGAGTTAAATAAAATTGTGCCCATAAATAACTAACAAAAATAACTTAAACATACCATCATAACACATTCATGAATAAGAAATCTATAATTCGTGGTTTCAATTTCTTAATTACGTATTTCCTAACAAGCTTTTAAAAAAGATTTTTTAATCAGTTTTAATTTTTGAATTTTATTGTAGGTCTTCCAAACGTCTGAAAGCTTTAAATTTTATTGATAAGTATGAAAAATCGCATAAACTAAACACTTCTAAATTTACAAAATAATCCCTTGAGAATAGTACTGCAAGGATTCGCATTGCATTATTACAGTTTACTATTGTAACATGCAATGTATTAATGTAATTATCTCTAATGGATATTTTATTCATGGTAATGAAAAAATGATTTCAGCAATAAAAGTAAAAGAACAATTTATTTTTTGAAATGATGTGATGTTGAACTGTAAAAGTGTGATTGTTTGTCAGTTTTTAACGCTTTTGTTGTAAATGAAGATGTTTTCTATTGAGAAACTCAATTTTTTTTATCGTAATTGCTTTTTTTCACTGCTATAATTGCTTTTTTTCACTGATTTCATTTTTAAAAATCTGCTGTTTTGAATTTCTGTTAATTTTTTTTTATTTTTAAAAAGCATCTATTATAATTACTTATTCTTATTCTGGTTAATTTCATTTGCCATGAAATCTGCTGAATCGTTATTCCAAAAAAGAAAAAAAAATATGTAACGCAATAGAGTATTCTAAATAATTTTATTTGTAAATGTAAGTATTTGTTAAAATTCATTTGTTAAGTTTCATTTGTATTGAAAACTGCTGAATCGTTATTCAGAAAAAAGTATGTAACGCAATGGAGTATTTTAATTGTAAATATAAGTATCTGTTAAGTTTCATTTGTATTGAAAATTGCTGAATCGTTATTCAAAAAAGTATGTAATGCAATAGAGTATTTTAATTGTAAATATAAGTATTTGTTGAAATTCATTTGTTAAGTTTTATTTGTATTGAAAACTGCTGAATCGTTATTAAAAAAAAATGTATGTAGCGCAATAGAGTATTTTAATTCTAAATATAAGTATTTGTGAAAATTCATTTGTAATGAAAACTGCTGAATGATTATTAAAAAAAAGTATGTAACGCAATAAAAGTATTTTAATTGTAAATATAAGTATTTGTTAAAATTCATTTTTCAAGTTTCATTTGTATTGAAAACTGCTGAATTGTTATTCAAAAAGTACGTAGCTCAGTAGAGTATTTTAAATAATTTTATTTATAAGTGTAAGTATTTCCCGAAATATTAGTTTAGCATTTAAATGACTTTTTAATGTACTCACATTTCCAAAACTATGGAAACTTTGTAGAATCGAGCATCAGGATCTATTTTAAATGGCACGATTTGTTTGAACAATGAAATTTTTATAATGAATAAAATGAGTTGTACTGATAAGTAATATTTGTGAATTGTGAGAAACAACTATTTTATCAGCTTCCCTGATTATCCTCGGGTACTGATACTGCAAATATTTATCGTCCCGTGAAAACTCGGGCTTAGCAGAAATTGTCAGTACATTTTGTCTTATCACGTTTTTACTCGGCCGGAAGCAAAGAGCACAATCTGCTATAATTGGAAGTTTGCCAAATTAATTTTGGATGTTTTGATTTTGAGCTGTGGGACTGCTCACGTGTTTTGTGCGATTGTATACACCAGGGGTGGCCAAGCTCCTTAATAGTCGAGCCATTTTTCAAAATCTGTAATTTTTCGCGAGCCGCAATTAAATAAATAGTATTTAAAAGGTACGCAAAAAAGGTACAAATTTTTTTTTTGCATAAATTATACTTATTGAAAACATATAGGAAAAAGTACAAAATATGTGTAGTGAATTTCAATATTGAAATTTAAACACATTTATTTTACTTGTCTTGATAATTCTTTAAAATTTGGTGAATAGTTGGTGACAGCACTTCTCAGTAATTCCTTGAGATGCTGGTTAGTTAATACTGATCGGTGTTCAGATTTCACGAATTTTAAAGTGGAATAACATGATTCACATAAGTACGCCGTTCCAAATGTTGAAATAATTCGTCAAGCAGCCTTTTTTAATTCAAGATACTTCGACTTTGGTACAAATTTCCAAAATTCAGTAATCGACATCGACTTATATTTTAATTGTAGAGCTTGATCTTCTTGCATCTCTATTAATTCTAACTCTCCAAAAGCTTTCTGTGTCATAATTATATTGGAAAAGGATCTCAGTAATTTAAAAGACATTTTGATACACATACGGAACGATAATAATTTTTTAAAATATAATAGCACAAAAAAGAAAAGGGAACTCGGATACATTTCTCGATTGCCGAAAATAATTCTTCAAAGAGCCGCATGTGACTCGCGAGCCGCAGGTTGGCCACCCCTGGTATATACGATGGTTGCTGAATTTGCATAGCAATAATAGTAAAAAAGAAAAAATGGCGTGTTCCTTCACTGACGTTTGAAAAGTATAACTTTGTGTTGTCCCTTGTTTTAAGAACTATCATACAAAGACTAAATATTTAACTTTTTTCATTTACCCAAAATAACTCGGAATAGTAAACTGATTTTACGTTAAAGGTTTCTAACACATGAAAAAAAATTCAAATTTCAACTTAAAACTTGTGCATCATGTTTTGTTTTAGCTCATTGTATTTATTAATTAAATAAAAAAAAATCTGCTGATTTTTTAAATTTTTTTTTCTTCAAATAATTGGTAAGGATGGAATAGGGAAGTGGTTAAATATCATATTGACATTTGTCAACCGCTTCCCTTAAATATATTCTTTTAAATCAACATATTTGTTTTAAATATGTTGATTTTTTTGATGTTGATCTCATGGATTTCAAGTTCTTGAGTAAAACCGTAGGAAGAAGTTAGTTTTAAAAAAGTCCATGTGTTAAGGTTCTTTTTTATCTAGTAAGGAAAAAACTATTTACCATATAAATTTTTTTATTTTCAACTGAGAAATATTCTATAAAATATATATAAAAAAAGTATTTAAAATTTGCAAAGGCATATTTTTACATCTGGCATTTTTTTAAATTAATCGAACACATTTTGATGCCTTTCGTGAGTGAGAACTGCCCAATCTTTTCACCGGCTCGGAGGCAAAATATTTGGTTATTGCTACCAAAGTAAAAATCTTAGTTCGTTAACAATTCTTCAGCAGACATAAACAATTCTCTCATAGACCACCAATGGTTTACGGAACATCGTCATCTACCGCAAAGTGTTTTAGATTTGAAGACTTATGAAAAACTTGAAATACACCTCATCCCACATTTTGAAAATTCCTGATACAAAAAGTTATTTAAAGACAAAACTTTATCTACATAAATATACAATTTACTTTGCATTAACATAAAATTATTTTGTATTAAATAAGAATGTGTATGAAATATTGTAGTTATGTATTACTGGTACCTACATAAATGCATACATATCATAAATTACATCTATATACATAAATATCAACATATCATTGACTCAGATCTACATGAATAATTTAGGTATTTACACGACATTTATTGTATACATAAAAACATAAATGTATGCTGAATATTGCAGTGATGTATTATTGGTAATTAAATTAAGTGTAATTTAATCAGAATTAAAGTGCAGAAAATGAAGCGTAATTTAATCGGAATTAATGGTTCAGAATCAGATATTTCCTGTCTTCGACTAGCCATTGGCGATTAATTATTTTGCGAACGAAGAGTGTGAAATACGATAATTTTGGGGCCAAGGGTCATTCATTCATTTATTCGTGAATTCGCATTTCGTTAGCGAATTATATACGTCATAACAAAGCACTTTGTAGTAGGGAAATATATTTAAAAACAATAACGAAGAATGATGTGTGGATGTTTCAGAGACTTAATAAAATCAGAATAAGTCTTATCTTTTCGGAGTAAGTTTCATACATTAAAATGCTAAGTTTCAATCTAATTAATGTGCTTAATTCCACGCGCTTATCAGAATCAAGTCGAGGAAGTGCTTTTTGAAATAAGCATTATTTTTCTACTTATAATTTTAAAAAAATGGTGAGTCATCCTCTTTATTAGTACAATACTATTGCTTACAGCCGTGGTGGCTCAGAGGATAGAGCGTTCGCATTTTAATGAGGTGAACCGGGTTCAAATCCTAGCTCACACCGATCACAGTGAAGTAAAATATCTTCAGTGGTAGACAGATCATGGGTTAGAGTCTTCTTGTCTTCAGACTAACCGTGAGTGGTTTTCCTCTTGATGTAACGCTAATACGGGATAGTTCCTACAAAAATATCCTCCACGCATGCATATTGCTCCCTATACTTGATCCTTGAGTTTCCTTGTCTCCTGAATTGGCTTCAAAATTACAAGGATAAGCAGTTGAACATTAGTTGTCTCAAACCCAAAAAATTGGATCGGCTGTTTAACGACGGGTATAAAATAAATTACTATTGCTTCCGGAAGCATAAAGACCTTAACGCGACTTTATTGAGATACTGTTTTATTATTATTGCAATATATGCGTTTTGATTTTTAAGTTTCTACTTTCTTTCACGATTTCAGCCCCCCAAAATTTCGTATGTTAATATTTTGAAAAATATAAATAAATTTTCATGCATGTAAAATTGAGATGAGCATAACTTTTAGTTTGGGTGGTATATTCAGAACTGAAATTTCATTCTCTGATTTAAATTATTAGAAATTTATTTGAAAAAAAAAACCAGTACCAACTAGCTTCGGTTAAAAATTTATTTCTGAATGTTTCCTAATTTTTTTAAATATCCAAACCCATAAATAAAAGTTTTAACTGAATTAAATCGAATACTTCAAAGAAATGTTTTAGTATTTCGAATTATTCTTGAGAAATTACGTACTTAATGTTTTTTTTTTAAATTTATTTTGTTGAAATAACTTTAAATTCTTATATCAATTATAAATCACAAAAAAAAGGTTTAAAATTTGTTATTAAGGGCTTTTAAGTTATTATTATTTTAGTTATTTAAATTTTAAAAAGAAATATTAGGTAAAGATGACTTGATTTTTTTACTATAGAAATGTTCCTCTTTCATTACGTCAAAAATTTTAGACCTGAAAATTTTGTCATTACTTTCTCTGAAATTCGACATCTAAATAAACGTGGCACCGTTATACCATCAAATCCTCCCCCCCCATTCCCAATTGTCACATTTTAGAGACACATAAGTTACCATTTTGTAATTTTTCCCAGATCGTAGCAACTCTGTATCTGCAAACGTGCCTTGGGAACCTGTTATTCAAAACTCTTTAAATAATGTGATAATCTATATTAATCTTCTAATAAATTTGAATCTGAATCGATAATGATTCTAAAAACTAAAAAGTTGCTCTTAAGAACATGAACATTTAATGACGATGAAAATGTGACGCATGTAAACAATATTCTAAAATGAATTTCCACCGAGTTCTTTGTAAATGGATTCCAAGACATTCAGTTCATTTTCCATTCTGTCAGCAATAGCGTTGATATCATTCGCTTTCGTGCTTTTGGATCCTTTGCGAATGTCGATCGTAGTTATCACTAAATTGGCGACATCCAAAACGATTCCGAATCCGAACAAAGCACTCTGGGCCACCATTCTTGCTGTTGCCTGAGATACTTCTTTAGTGACCACAACACCAGTTTTCATGGCTACACTGGCAATGGTCATGCCCAGGTCACTCCCAAGATCTAGAATCTTTATCAAACCTAAAACCAGACGGTGAGATCTAACAACACTGCCAAGTATTAAGTTATTTTTGCTATGTAACAAAATGGCGACGAAAAAGAAAGCTACGACGGCCGGAATCAGTAACATATTCTCGTTTAAAATGCCCTTCATTCCAGATGGCGCTGTTTTTTCAACGCAATCTTCAATTAATTCCTTGAGTTTGGGATGAACCTCGCCATTTTCTAGCGCAGTCAACTTCGCAATGTCTTCATTGCAATCTGTGAAGTTTCTATAAACTTCTTTGGCAACATCAAATCCAATGACTGTTTCGATTAATGTTATTAGGTCTTGAGCATGTTGGAACCAGGGCGTCATGTTTTTGAAAGTGTCTTGGTCGTTTCTTAAGACATTTGTTGCCTTTTTTATGCTTTTGTTTAGAAGAGCGATTTCCGTGACAGAGGTACCAAATGTTGCAGCCCCACCTACAACGGCTGTTGCTAAGCCAACTATTCCAAGAATCATGGCTGCAGGTGGAAAGATGAATGCCGAGACTCCCACCAGACCTGTAAATAAGTAAACATTTAAATTATGAGCATAAATACGTATATTTTACATGCATTTTGAATAGTAACAACTATTGTACTCTTATAAATAGAATAGCCATTTCAAGGTCACGAGATTTCCCCACTCTTCCAACTTCTCCCATCTCCATTTCCATGGTTTTAGTAAATCTTTTTCCTCTCGTGAGCATATTTCAACTTCTTACTGAAATGTAAAGCCAAGATAAACCTTAGGTGAAACTAACTATTTTATCTTTCCAAATTAAAACTCGTAGAAGACAGATCTCAAGCAGGGATTCTTAAGCAGAAATGTTTTTTTTTTAAAAGAAACATTGAAAAGGTAAGTTTTGTAATGTTATTTTAGAGTTTTTGCTATGAGTTTTCTATTTTTTTCGGACGTAGGTAGCCTTAGACATGCTGATATCATGGAAACAGATAGGGGAAAGTGCGCAGAGTGGGAAAATCACATAATCCTGAGACGCCTATTTTACTTAGAAACAGAATACACATAAGGCGAAAAAGAAATTAATCTTAATTAGAGAAAAGAAGCTGATTCCGTTTTGCACTTCGAATCAAAATTAGTTAACACGTTGAATGCCATTAATGTAACTCACTAAATTAGAAATAACTTGAATTTCATTACCACTAGAAGATATTTTAATACAAAGTGAACATATTTCATATCTCTTAACCCTTTCGCGCCGACTGTCACAAATACGTGACAGCAAAAAACCGTATCAANATTTTCAGAAAAGTGGTAAGAAGATAAAACTGGTAATCAAAGTATTTCTTTAGCAGTTTATTTGTGGTCGGATTTATAATTTTTTGATTTATTTAATTCACCATTACTTTGTTCAAAATAAAACTATTTAGTTATACTTTGAATTAACATTGATTATATATATGATTAAACTAACAATAATTAAAATAAAAGCAAAGTAAGTCTGTCAAATTAGCAACGACTACATTTAAGTTACCGTTTTTTATTTAATTGCAACTTGATTCTGATTTTGTACGAATGCTTTTCTGAATCACCCGTCCCCAAGGGGTTAAAAACGAATATGCAGAACGTTTTCTTTTTAAAAAATGTTTAATTTTCAATGTCAGTCACGGTGGTAGTTACGATTGAATAATTTAATAATTAAAGGCGAATTGAATTTCTACCATTTTTTACATTTTTAGTCACTAGTAGCATACCTGTGACTGGGATCTTTTTAACACGACTTTTTTAACACGTTGAATGCCATGGGGGGTCACCGATGACCGGTGAAGCCAAGATTATTAGAAACACATATTTCGAGTAAATTTTTAATTTTTTAATATTATTATCGTTACTAAAATGGTGTGAAGAAATGAATGCAATATAGAACACACAAAAATAGTTTTATTTATATACACAGAGATGCCAACTTGTTCCTAGCAACGATTAAATATTTTAAAGTGATAGTTTATCAATTGTGATTCTTGGTTTAATAAATTCAATTTAGTAGATTTTAATCCAACCCTATTTCAAACAATTCGAAGGTTTATATAATTCACCACTTTTTTCAGATATGTCATAATTCAAATCTGACTGTAATATACCAAGGCTGCTATGATGTTAAAACAGAGGAAAAAGCTTTTAATTTCATACCCTCATTTTGGTCGATGTAAATTTTGCAGGGGAAAAGTTTCAAACATGATCTTTCAAATATGACCAACAATTTTTCCCATGATAAATCCTCCAAAAGGTTTTCTGCCGAAAGATTTTTTACATAAATTTAGTATAGGAGTGCTTTCTTTATTTTCCAGGCCTGAGAACTACTACGGTTTTCGCAAAATATTTTGTAGAGTGGTACACAATCGAAAACCAAAGCCTTCAGAATTTTGGTAATTTTGCCAGCATTTTAAAAGCCTCATCATAAGAAAGCTAGAACAAAGTGGATGAACTTTTTAATCATTTCTATGTAGAGGTGAAGAAAATAAGTTCAAATTAATCAAAAATAATACATTAAATGATAATACCCCGGTACCACTATATTACATTTTTACAAGACGCGTAGAAAGTTGGCGGCCCTGATTTTGTCGTGGTTGTGTTGGCGATTTGATCCAGAGATGCTAACTTATGAGCTTAATAATAATTAAAAAAATTATTGCTGTAACAAACACAATGTTTTAATGCATGATTCTTGATTAAAATAAAATAATCCTTTACTAGGGCAACTAATTTTTAAATGTTTCCCTATTTCCACAGTTTTTCATCAAAAATCCTTTGTAAATGTTTTAAAAAATACCTACATTTCTGCAAATTTTAGTTTTTTGATTCTGTATCACTTGATCAAAACTTTTTTCAAAAAAACGGAACAGTTGGTCTAACTCAGTGAACTGTCCGAAAAATGAACACGGTCTCTTTTATGAGTGAATCTCACCTAATATTGGCGCAGGAATCTAATATACAATAGAACAAGGATTTTTTTGAACGATTCATTAATACCATCATTGTTAGCTTTTCTCATGATTCTACATCAGTTTCAATACGGTGTACTCTTTATATTTCAAAGTTGGAGGGACGTTAAAAAATTTCGAAATAACAAGTTCACAACTAAATATGTTCTAAAATGTAGAAGAATATATTCTAAGATTGTACTCCAGAAAGTAGAGTCATTAAAAGCATAAAAATAACTGCTAATAAATATGTATGTTATGAAAGTTAACTATAAGTCTAATTCTATTTTTAAAAGTTAGACAAAATTATGCATTAAATATAAAAGAATTGGTTTACAATGAACTTACATTGTAATTTTTCTGAAAAAGTTTATTTTCTATTTCACAAAATATTCGATATAGCAAGATTTTGAGACGAAACTCTTCGACATAGGAATTTAAATTAAAATGATATAAATATGTAACGGCAAGGAGTAAAAAAAAGTTTTTTTGTCATAACAAGGCTTTCGAGTTACGGAAGTTCGAGATATCGAGAGTATGTCAGAGTAATGTCACTTTCCTGACATATCTTCCTGGCATTTTTCTCGATCTAATTTTTACGTATAAACTCTTAAAGGCATTTCTAGAGTACATACACAAGTAATGATTCCCAAAATATATTGTAAAAATAAGTTTTTATGTCAATAATTATGTCACACGAAAAAATGTCATCTGGCAGCTTACTATAGTCTATATAAATGATACGTTAGTTAACACGTTCACGCCGGGGTGGCCCACCGGTGGGTCACGCTAGATTGTCTTATCTTGGCAGCGCACCGGAGTAAAAACTGGTACCAATAAATTTCAATCTTCAGTTTTTTTCCAGGAATAATAAAAATCCATAACTACCAATTGTTTTTAACGGATGCAATTTTTATATTGAATTGCTTCTTGGCCGTGATAAATTTCCTTACAGTGAATTGTTATTGTTGAGAATAGATTAACTCNAAAATTTAACAAAATAATTTCAAGACACTATCACGTTCCATTAAGATAAAACAATGAAGTTTGACACGTGTTCCTGATGTTCTACTGTCCAAGTGTGCATGCGGCACGACTCAGATAATTTGTTGATTGTATAAGAACTGGAATCCATCTTCATTCAAAATGAAAATTATCTTTTTCGTCTAAGATGTGAGTTTTTCCCCACGAGATCCCGTATGTGTTAACACCACCTGTCCGGAGCCACCAGCACCATTAGACCACACGATCCTGGAGATCCTTCTGGAACGAAGGATCAGGTAAATTGATTTGAACAATATCTCACTAATACGATCACTCTTTTTATGTTTTCTTATTTATTTCATTCAAAAATATATTTAAATCATAACGATATAACAGTAAGCGATTTCGGATTAAGAACAGAAAAGAAAGTTTCGAAAAGAAATTCATTCAAAGAGATTTTAAAACGCAAGTAGGTTTTTATGTTACAATTTGCCTGCCTTCTATAAATCATTAATAACATCCTATATAAAGCTTTGTTTTTAATATCCCAAGATAAAAGAGTCACATCTAAATTTTTAATATTTTCCTGCAGAACTTGATAGTAAAAATCAAATTACAAATTGTCATTATCCTGGCAATAATTTTCCTGGCACTTGAATCCCAGGAAATAATTGCAAACTGTATTGCTTTTTATAAGGTATCATTTACGGATACTAAATGAATATTTAAAAAAAACTGAAGATGTAAAATTTAAATTCCCTCCCCCTAAAATTTTTATATTTTCAGAGAATTTCCCATATGTGTATATATAAAAAAAATTAATTCAATAACTTACCTCCCATTATGCCAATTGAACTCGATCCAACTTTGGCAGAGTTACAATTACGTCTGTCAGTATTAATCTTCTTGGCCAATCTCCGTAATTCAGCTATTGTATTTTTTCGAGACACTGCCCAGGTGGGACAGCTCTGCAGAAATTCTGGAGTTGCTCTGCTCGCGTGATTGAAAGTTCTTATAATCCTTTTCAAATTCCCTTTCGTCATTTCTAACTTGTGGTCAAAATCCGCCATGGTATCATCTCTCGGTGCATCTTCGCATAAATTCAGTAACTTTTCCTTAGCAACCGTGAAGAGCGATGATGCTAGAGCGAGACTGACTTCATCGCTGGATTGTCTGAAGAAATCGCAGTTGAAAAAACTGTTGAAGGAAGGTAAACGTGCCATTTTTAGAAATATTTCAATTTAATTCGTGTCCATTGATCTGAAAAACTTTCACATTAAAGCATATCGTTCAACCAATAGGCATATAAGTTTCTTTTAAATTATCACAGAATGGAACAATTTTCCGATTAATGCTCACCGTTCAATCAGTATGAAGGTAAGTTCTCACATAAATCATCACAAATATAAGTAATTTTCTCGTTTATGCTCACTATTCAACCAGCAAGCATGAAAATTCTATCTAAATCCTCACGGAGATCAATAATTTTTACTAATTCAACTACTATACATGAATGTTTTATATAAATGATCAAAATATACGAAATAATATCAGATTCATCCTTATCTATCAACCAGCATCCATGAAAGTTAAATAGTTTTAGATAAATCAAAGATAAAAATTTTAATATTTTTACATATCGTTACCAATATGCATGAAAGTAAAAAGTTTCTTTTAAATCATCACAGAGATAAATATATTCTCAATGTTATGGAGACATGAACGACAAAAGAAGTGAGGGCAACAGATGTGAAATTTGGGATCATGAGGTTTACTTTAAATATAAATCTTATGATGCAAATTTCAAAGGCTTCAATATCAAAAAAGTAAGGTTTAATATCAGTTAAATATAGAACACAAAATCAAAATGCAATAAGAACTATTGTTCATCTTATCATCTCAATTATCGTTGCTATCTATTACAAACACAGTGATAAAGAGATATACATAAAAAGCTAAAAGGTAAAGATAAAATTTACATTACATAATAAATCATTTTAACTCCATCAAAAAAATTTCGTTGCACTTTCACATTAGAAACTCGAAAGCTAAATATAAACTTATTTGCAAATGTAATCTCGAAACTAACATTAAAGAAACATATTATATTTAAGATTCGTATACTTATTTAAATATTGATATGCTAAAAATTCAAATTCGGCATTATAAATTTTTTATTTTGTAACAGTCGTTGAACAGTGGAACCTATTTTGAGTTTACGACTAGCAACGCTCAAGTCCGCTGTCTCGTAGTTTTGAACCCAATCCAGAAGACAAGGGAACTCTTGGATCACGCATTGGGGCAAATCAGCCTTTAATGAGAATTTTTTGATGAAACTAACCCGTATTTGCATTACATTGAGAGAAAAACACGAATTACTCCCACGGTTAGTTCTACGGCAAGAGGATTCTAATCCATGATCCATATACTACTGAGGATATTTTACTTCAACACTGTGGTTCCATGCAAAAAATAATTTTTAATAATTATTTTTTTTAACTTTACTTAAATACAGTCGGAAATTTTGAATTGTAAGGTTTGCATAATTATAAGGAATGTGATTTTTTTTACGGCAAAATACAAAATTTGAACGGAATCGTTTGAATATTTTCTGAGATATCAAATTTTAAAAGAGTTTGATATTTAAATGTATTTATAATAATTGGATTCAAAGTTATCCAAGGTGTTCGCTTTTTTAATTTGCGCACTATATATTAACTCAAACTATATGTATTTCTTCATGGTGCGATGGGAAATATCTTTATTTATATTCTTCAATTCCTTTATTTTGAATTTTTTCAAGATCTTTATTTTGTATTCTTTCAATACTTTATTTTGTATTCTTTCAATATCTTTATTTTGTATTCTTAAATTCTTCACTACTTTATTTTGTATTCTGTCAATACCTTTATTTTGTATTCTGTCAATACCTTTATTTTGTATTCTTAAATTCTTCACTACTTTATTTTGTATTCTTAAATTCTTCACTACTTTATTTGGTATTCTTTCAATATCTTTATTTTGTATTCTTAAATTCTTCTATTCTTTATTTTGTATTCTTTCAATGTCTTTATTTTATATTCTTAAATTCTTTATTTTGTATTCTTTCAATATTTTTATTTTGTATTCTTCAATACTTTATTTTATATACTTTCAATATCTTTATTTTGTATTCTTAAATTCTTCACTACTTTATTTTGTATTCTTCAATTCTTCACTACTTTATTTTGTATTCTTAAATTCTTCACTACTTTATTTTGTATTCTTTTAATATCTTTATCTTGTATTCTTTAATTCTGCAACACTTTATCCTGTATTCTTTCAATATCTTTATTTTGTATTCTTTAATTCTTCAATAATTTATTTTGTATATTTTTAATATCATTATTTTGTATTCTTTAATTCTGCAATGCTTTATTCTGTATTCTTTCAATATCTTTATTTTGTATCTTAAATTCTTTTGTATTCTTTCAATATAGCCTACTTATTTTTAAATATCTATCTTGCTCCAACTAAATCCCCCTGTATTCCAGTTCCACTATTTTTCGTTGTTAATAATAATAATTTCTAAAATCCAACAGATGGCGCTCTGCGCAGTAATGTAAAAGGATTAATTTTATTCAGTTTCCTGTATGGCACTGCAACATGAGCATCATTCCTTGTTTTTTGCTATTAAATAAACTTTGTTGAAGGCGTTTGTAATGCTTTAAAACCTCGAGATTATCGTATTTAGCATCCATATAATGTTTTACTTCAAGTATCTCCATACCACAAGGAATGGGAAAAGGGTTAAATTGATTGTCTGCTTTCTGAGTTATGAAATTTCTAAAAGACCGTACTTTTAAAAAAAATTTCTTACACAAAAACAATTCAAATATTCTTTCCTTTATTCGAAAACTTTTCGTTCAAATTGTCTATTTATCATTTTAAATTACATTTTAAAATCATGTAAAAATATGATTATCTTACAGTTCGAATCTTCATTTACCATAATTAGATTAAAATACCATTTACCATAATTAGAAAAGTAATAATTAACTATTAAAAGTTATCGTTTATTTATTATTTGAATGAGATAATCCCTGAAAAAACGAGTTCTTTAAGTGAAGTAATTCGTTTGCTTAAGTAGTTCTGGAGATATGGCGAAATACGAAATAAATAAAAAAATAAATAGATAAAATTAACATTAAATGATTTCGATCACCAGTATCAGTGTTGCTAGAATTTAAGATTAGAAAGTAGCGAATGTGAGCTCCAAAAGTAGTGGATTCGAACATTTTGTAGCCCAAAAAAACTATGTAGATTATAAAAATAAGTTAAATTTCAATGCTGTTGTAGTTCATTTACGTCGCACTAGAGCTTTACAATGGACTATTGGCGACGGTCTGGGAAACATCCCTGAGGAGGATCCGAAGACATGCCATCACAATTTTGATCCCCTAACAGGGGATTGCATCCCCGCCTCAGTTGCCCGACGACCTGCACGCAAAGTCGAGCTCTTTACGGTAGAACAGTTTAACGAGAACCCATACCGCACACCCTCGGTCTTTACGCAGACTAGTCCAAGTGGTCACCTACCCGCATACTGACACCAGCCAGTGATGCTTGACTTCGGTGATCTGATGGGAACCTCTTAACAATCAGTCCACTGCGGGATTAAATTTCAATGCATTGCATTAAAAATTTCGTCAAATTCAATATTTCGTTTCAACTCTAATTAAAGGTCATGTGATTTATTTTAGAAGATAAACGATTAATAATGGTTGGAGTTAAAGCTTTTTTTTTTTTCATCATACTTGCCGTGCATTTTTCCATATATCTTTGCTATTTCACGAGCCTTATGATTTGAACCATAGATATGGAGAGATTCTAGATTCCGAGCAGCAAAAAAAATAAATAAATAAATAAGATAAAATAAAATAAAATAAAGAAACCAAAACTAAAGCTGATACGTTTTCAGGAAGAAAAAAAAATTTCTTTTTTAAAAAGATAAAGAAACTGCAGATTTTTCAAAATCATTTTATAATGGGAAAGGAAAAATTTTTAAAAAAGTATTTCTGTAAGAAGAAAAAATGCTGCGCATTTTAAAGATTTGTAGCGTTTGAAAAATAATGAGTAGCCCAAAAAGTAGCGGGGAGCCCAAATTTGATTTTCAGTAGAGAGGACTTTTAAAAGTAGCCCAATCTGGCATCACTAACCAGTATTCTTAAAAAAATTTAGCATATATATTAAACACGTTCACTCCGGGAAAAGTGAAAATACTGGTACGGGAAAAGAGAAAATACTGGTAGAAGAACTATTTCAATATTAGATAATATTCGGGAGGAGTTAATCTATTCTCAACAATAACAATTCACTATAATGAAATTTATCTCGGCGAAGAAGCAATTCAATATAAAAATTGCATCCGTTAAAAACAATTGGTAGTTATGGATTTTTATTACTCCCGGAAAAAAACTAAAAAATGAAATTTATTTCTTACCAGTTTTTATTCCGGTGCGCTCCTAAGATGAGATAATCCAGCGTGACCCACCGGTGGGTCACTCCGGCGTAAACGTGTTAATATGCATTACAATCATGGTCGTCAGCTAAAGATTTTTCAATACAGCATATTTTTTTACTTACAATTGAAAATTTAATTCCATTTTGCTACCACTAGGAAAAATCATACTGGAAAGGATTAAAAGTTGGCAGGTATTTACATACCCTCCAACTGCTACGGAATTTCCGTAGTTTCAGAAATCTTCTTTTCAGACGTTAGCAAAAGTCATATAAACACTCAAAGGANCTGCAATACTTTATCCTGTATTCTTTCAATATTTTTATTTTGTATTCTTAAATTCTTCATTTCTTTATTTTGTATTCTTTCAATATCTTTATTTTGTATTCTTTCAATATCTTTATTTTCTATTCTTTAATTCTTCAATAATTTATTTTGTATATTTTTAATATCATTATTTTGTATTCTTTAATTCTGCAATGCTTTATTCTGTATTCTTTCAATATCTTTATTTTGTATCTTAAATTCTTTTGTATTCTTTCAATATAGCCTACTTATTTTTAAATATCTATCTTGCTCCAACTAAATCCCCCTGTATTCCAGTTCCACTATTTTTCGTTGTTAATAATAATAATTTCTAAAATCCAACAGATGGCGCTCTGCGCAGTAATGTAAAAGGATTAATTTTATTCAGTTTCCTGTATGGCACTGCAACATGAGCATCATTCCTTGTTTTTTGCTATTAAATAAACTTTGTTGAAGGCGTTTGTAATGCTTTAAAACCTCGAGATTATCGTATTTAGCATCCATATAATGTTTTACTTCAAGTATCTCCATACCACAAGGAATGGGAAAAGGGTTAAATTGATTGTCTGCTTTCTGAGTTATGAAATTTCTAAAAGACCGTACTTTTAAAAAAAATTTCTTACACAAAAACAATTCAAATATTCTTTCCTTTATTCGAAAACTTTTCGTTCAAATTGTCTATTTATCATTTTAAATTACATTTTAAAATCATGTAAAAATATGATTATCTTACAGTTCGAATCTTCATTTACCATAATTAGATTAAAATACCATTTACCATAATTAGAAAAGTAATAATTAACTATTAAAAGTTATCGTTTATTTATTATTTGAATGAGATAATCCCTGGAAAAACGAGTTCTTTAAGTGAAGTAATTCGTTTGCTTAAGTAGTTCTGGGGATATGGCGAAATCCAAAATAAATAAAATAAAAAAATAAATGAAATTAACGTTAAATGATTTCGATCACCAGTATCAGTGTTGCCAGAATTTAAGATTAGAAAGTAGCGAATGTGAGCTCCAAAAGTAGCGGATTCGAACATTTTGTAGCCCAAAAAAACTATGTAAATTATAAAAATAAGTTAAATTCCAATGCTGTTGTAGTTCATTTACGTCGCACTAGAGCTTCACAGTGGACTATTGGCGACGGTCTGGGAAACATCCCTGAGGAGGATCCGAAGACATGCCTCCACAACTTTGATCCTCTGGAGAGGGGATTGCATCCCAGCTTCAGTTGCCCGACGACCTGCACGCAAAGTCGAACTCTTTACGGTAGAACAGTTTAACGAGAACCAATACCGCACACCCTCGGTCTTTACGCAGACTGGTCCAAGTGGTCACCTACCCGCATACTGACACCAGCCAGTGATGCTTGACTTCAGTGATCTGCTGGGAACCTCTTAACAATCAGTCCACTGCGGGACTAAATTTCAATGCATTGCATTAAAAGTTTCGTCAAATTCAATATTTCGTCTCAACTCTAATTAAAGGTCATGTGATTTTTTTAGAAGATAAACGATTAACCCTTTGACGGTTATGAACGAGTTCAACTCGCAATCGAATCGTGCCTCATAATGTGCGCAAACGAGTTCCACTCGGGAGCAAGATTTCTACCGTAATGGTTAGTAACGAGCACTACTCGGGTAGTGAAATTTTTCCCCAATGCTCGCTAACGAGCTGACCTCGTTCGCCATAATTATTCTGCATTGACTATGTTAAAAACGAAAAGTACGTAAAAACTGTTATTTATGTACTACGAACACTTTAAGAAATTTTTTAACGCGTGAGGCGAGCTATCTACCGCATCCAGAGAAGCCAACTTGCTCCGCTTTGTAAAATAGTATTTCCTAGTGATAGCGAAAGTCAAGTTACTTTCAGTTTAGTATTTTTCCTTTTAAGTAATTTTCTCACCACTAAACATCAAAAACTATAAGTAGCATATAAAATGCAACGTTAAAGCAGCAATCTACTGGTCACTCTATTAAATAGTAGGCGTAGCTGTCCTTCTCCAGCGAAATTATTACAATTCCAGAAAGCGGAGCAGTTGGCATCGCCAGAGAAGGGTGACATTTTCGGTAGAACAGCTGTGAAAAATAGCTGCCACTTTCGACTACTGTTAGCTCGTAATACTGCGCGAATTAATGAAACGAAAACTGCTCATTTCCCTGACCGTCAAAGGGTTAATAATGGTTGGAGTTAAAGCTTTTTTTCCATCATACTCGCCGTGCATTTTTCCATATATCTTTGCTATTTCACGAGCCTATGATTTGAAGCATAGATATGGAGAACAAAAAAAAAAAAAATAAGATAAAATAAAATAAAGAATCCAAAACTAAAGCTGATGCGTTTTCAGGAAGAAAAAAAAATTTATTTTTTATAAAGATAAAGAAACTGCAGACTTTTCAGAATAATATTATAATGGGAAAGGAAAATTTTTTAGAAAAGTATTTCTGTAAGAAGAAAAAAAAAAGCAGCGCATTTTAAAGATTTGTAGCGTTTGAAAAATAATGAGTAGCCCAAAAAGTAGCGGGTAGCCCAAATTTGATTTTCAGTAGAGAGGACTTTTAAAAGTAGCCCAATCCGCTACTTGTAGCCCAATCTGGCAACACTGACCAGTATTCTTAAAAAAATTTTGCATATATATTAATATGCATTACAATCATGGTCGTCAGCCAAAGGTTTTTCAAATACAACATATTTTTTTGCTTGCAATTGAAAATTTAATTCCATTTTGCTACCACTGGAAAAAATCATACTGGAAGGGATTAAAAGTTGGCAGGTATGCATACCTGCCAACTTTTAATCCCGTCCATTATTATTTTTCCCAGTGGTATTACAATGGAATTAAAACTTCAATTTTAAGCAAACTAATACGTTGTATTTGAGAAAACTTAAGTTGACAACCATGACAGTAACGCATATTAATATATGTGCTTAATTTTTGTTAGAATAGTGGTGATCAATAACATTCAAAAATTTAAATTATAAAAGAAAAAATAGTATATAATTACTACCACTTTAAATATGAAAATAAAATCTTCCGGAAAATCCGGAAGAGTTGGCAGGTATGGGTATGCAATACTACAATCGCTCGTCACATTTTTTTTTTTTTTTTTAATTGAAGTTGTAGCTGTAGAGATAAGTTTGCTCCAGCTTTTATGAAATCTCACTTACCACTTTTTAATCTCGAATAGCTGAAAGAAATATTTTAGAAAAGTTTCCTGCAAGCATTATATTATCTATATAAAATTGCTTGTGGCATATATCTTGATTTGAAATCAAATATACTCTATAACAAAAAAATCGACGCACCAAGAAGGAGTTGTTCGATTGAAACGAAAATTGGTGGATAGGAAGACAATGTACAGAATAGTAAATGATTAAAATTTCAAAGCAATTGAATAATTTATTGCAGAGTTACAGTAACAAGTTCAATAAGGTGTTGACCCGTCTCTAGCCTGGATACAAGCTGCCACACGGCGTGGCATAGACCGATAAAGCTCCAGGATGGTCTCTTGCGGTATGTCCTGCCAAATTCGATCCAATTGTCGAACGAGGTCATCAACATTCCGTGCCAGATGCAATCGCCTTCCCATCATATCCCAGACATGCTCGATGGGAGAGAGATCTGGTGATCTGGTAGGCCAAGGAAGAGTTTGACAAGCTTGCAGACAGTCCATAGCAACACGTGCCGTATGTGGTCTGGCATTGTCCTGCTGAAAAACCAGCCCACGGCGCTGCAAAAGGAACGGTAGCAAAACAGGTCTTAGGATGTCGTCAACGTACTGCTGTGCAGTAAGTGTACCTCTAATGACGACCAAAGGGGTCCGGCTGTCAAAGGAAATGGCACGCCAGACCATAAAGCCTTGTTGAGGGCCGGTGTGACGTGCAATAGTGAAGGCAGGATCCCCCCTCTGCCCTGTGCGTCTCCAAACACGTCTTCGATGATCGTCAGGACACAGTTGGAAGCGGGATTCGTCGCTAAAGACTGTATGTCCCCAGTCTGCATCATTCCAGCCATATCTGTTCAAAACATTCATGCATACAAAATTTCAAAGCGATCGGATGATTGCTTCTTGGTGCGTCGATTTTTTTATTCGAGAGTGTAGTTAAACATTTTTAACAAAATTAGTAGCTATATGAAGAAAATTCTCAATTACTTTCTAAAAAAACCTGGTGCCATATTTTTCATAAAAGTACTTTTTCACATTTATGCAGAATAAGAATCTGCAGGTAAACGGTTAAATACTTTTTCTTAAGAAATCACCTTGATAATTCTAAACTGCCATTATTCCTATTTTTGATCACCAGAAGTTTTTTTCCTAAATATTAAAGTGGTAGCTGAACTTTTTTTTATATATTTTTATATTTGATTTAAAAAATATTTTGTCCGTATAATATGTAATAAATGAAAAGATAAGCATAAATTGTCGAAAATATAAGTAACATTGTCTTTAAGTGATAACAAAATTTTAAAAAAAACTATTGCTGATTTAATTATGAATTAATTACCACATTAAATAATGTTATTTATTATTACTTCATATAGAAGTTAAGCATGTTAAAGTAGCACAAGTATGATACAACGTTTTTTACAAAAGCACTTTTCGCTACAATATTATGTTAGAAACTATCATATTTTTTTACTCAGAAAATTCAACTTGATATTTATTATTACTTCCAATAGAAGTCAAGTATACTAAAAATAAGAGAAGAGAAGCTATGTCTTTATTTTTCGAAACAATTTTTTGCAACAATGTTATATAAGAAGCTATTATTTTTTTACTAAGAAAAGTCTGCTTGATATTTATTTTTACTTCCAACAAAAGTCAAATATACCAGAAATAACTGAAATATACTACATGATTTTACAGCAGGATTTTTTACATCCTTGCCGTACTAAAAACTTTTACTTATTTTTCTTTTAAAAAAATTCACCTGGATATTTATTATTACTCTCACCTGAAATCAAACGTAATAAAAACAATTCTCGAACTTGACCTTTAATTTTTCCGGTTAAAATCAGTTTCTTAAGTCACTGTGTAAATTGAACATGTCTCTAAACCGATTATTACAGTTTCAGTTCGAAAAATGCAATTTCTTAATGCAAACACAAATTAATTTTTTTCTTTCTTTTATTGCTGTATTTATGTGAATTTTCACCACACAAGTGCAGCTGATCGTCTGCTCATTTAGACAGCTGCGAAGTAAAGAACGAAACGAAAAACTGACGTCGTTTGCGTTTTATTGGTTTCGAATAGTTTTCAACGTCATAATTTCCGAATACAATTAGCAATCACCGAAAAGAACAACTTTCATCATAACGGATAATAAAGAAGGGGAGTTCCTCGCTAACCGAACCTCTGTCCCAGAAAAGAAGAAAAAGGATACCTGATTATTATTACTTTCACTGTGAGTCAGAGGATACTATTTGTTTGTGTGTACTCGAACGTAGGATGCGATTTTCCGATGCCACCCAGAACTTTGTTAAAACTGTTTGAGAATAAAAAAAATAACTTTTATATTATCGTCTGCGTTTCATCAATGAAACGACGTGTGTTCGAAAATATTGAAATAAAATCGAAGTTTCGAAGATATGATTGGATAAAATAAAAGAAATAATGAGGTAAGTGGAATTAATGGAATTACTGTCTTTTCGTGACCTTGGTTAGTTATGTTTTATATGTCCAGCTGATGCTTTCGTCTGAAGAATCAAGGTCAATTTTGGATCTGTAAACATTACAAAATTCCCCTTTCTTCATAGCTCTTTTCTCTATCATAGAAAACAATGTTTAGTCTTAACTTTTCAATGATATTTTTTTAGAAGTATATATTATAGAAGTCTCTCAATTGTTCAATAATATTTTTTCAGTTGTATATAGAAGTCTCAATTTTTTGATAATATATTTTCAATAGTATATAGAAGTCTTAATTTTCCACTAATGTGTTCAATAGTACATAAAGGTCTCAATTTTTCAATAATATTTTTTTCAGTACTAAATAGAAGCCTCAATCTTTCGATAGCATTTTTTCCATTATAGAATTCTTAATTTTTCAATAATATTTTTTCAGTAGTATGCTTGAAACCTCAATTTTTGGATAGTATATTTTAAATAATATGTAGAAGTGTGAATTTTTCATTTTTTTCAATAAAGGTCTCAATGAGCTCAACTAATGAGCTTTGTGGGCGTATTAGGTAATTTACATTTTTAGGAGTATTTATTAATGAGAAAAAATAACATAAAATAATTGAGTACAACCAATTGCATTTCGAGTACAGTAATGTGCTGTTTGAACTAATGTAAACACCAAATCAATTAATGTACACAGTAAAATAATTTTGCATAATTTCTAAAATTCATAGAACAATGTGGTTACAAATTGTTATGATCAGTGGTCGGAAAAGCTACATTATTTTTGTAGCTGAGTACAACTACTTTGTTACAAATGTAGTCAACTACAACTATTTTTGTTTCGAAAATGTGATGACTACAAACTACTTTAAAATTGTAGTTATTACTTCACTGTTTGAAGGAACCGAACTTACATTAAATGTAAGAGAATAATTGAGAAATATTTATTCATGTTTAAATGAGTCAGTTTACTATTCCAAAACATTTTTTTTCTCAAATTTACTCATAAAACCTTCATTTTTTAATGCCTTTCTCGACAGAGAATATTTAATTTAAGAAATGCGAAATTATCAAATACTTGAAAATTTTGAATTCTCTTTTATTTACTCTAAAAAATTTAAGTACGTCGAAAATACGTTGCCGATATTTCCCAGTGGTAGAAAAGTGGAATTAAAATTCCAATTTTAAGCTTTAAAATACGTTGATTTTGAAAAAGCATAAGCTGATAACCATGACTTAGACTTAGACTAATTTCTGTCACGGAGTACCTGTCCGCGAAGCGGACACTCCACTCCTTCAACTGAGATAGTGCCCGTGGGCGCCTAGTGTACTGTTATTAGAAAGTAAAACCACAGGTGGGCTGTGGATGTCTTGGGTGTAAGTCAGCATGAAGGGGATCTGATAACCATGATAGTAACACATATTAATATATATGCTTAATTTTTTTAAGAATAGTGGTGATCAAAATCATTTAGAAATTAAATTTATTAAAGAAACTATAGTATATACCTTGGCCAAAGAATACCTAAGCCAAGGTTCGCCAAGGTATATACATTACTACCACTTTAAATATAAAAATAAAATTTTACGCCAAATGTGTAAAAGTTGGCAGGTATGCGTTGGATTCCTTTGAAATAACATCAATGTTTCACGAGTGAACATTCACATGTGAAAGCGTGACCAAAGTGATTAATTATCTGTTTTCTTATTGGATAGTTTAAATATTAGTTACACGTAATTCTAAATACGTAATTTCTGTTAACGCTCAGCTGCAGTCACAGTTAGATATTTTCATCGCATCCATTGACTACCCACCATTACTAAGATTTGTACCCATCAAATTCATAAAATTAATCAGGTTAGAGTCGTGTTTCTTTACTAAACTAATGTTAAAAGTAGTTGTCAGAAATCGCTGCCAACCACTACTTTTTTTTTAAAAAAGACGAGAATTCTAGTTTCACTACTTGATTTGATTATCCTCTGACCACTGGTTATATTAAAAAAAATTATTAAGTTCAGAGTGGTGACTTTCGATGTTTCAGTGGAATACGAAGGATTAACAAAGTTTAACCATCACCTCCTACATCAAGAAGCCTCCACACGGTCTTTCATAAGTAGTCCGCGCAGACTGTTTAAAAAGTGAACCAGTTGTGCGCATGAACCCAAAACCTTTTATAAAAGTAATTGAGAGAAATTTATCTTATATATTTGAGAATTGAATCTGTAGAGGTTGACAAGTGAATAAGGCAAACCAGTAATATTCATACATAAAATAAATTTTCAGTCATATATTTGCTACCACTTTCTTATTTTAACTATATTCTGTATTAAATGACTCGTTCGGAAAGTGGATATCCTTCACAATGGTCTGATCGGACTACCTATAAAAAACCGTGTGGAGGCGTTGGTTTAACTCCTTTTATCCCGACTTTTTATATTGAAATGGTGCAAAAAGTGGTTTTATGAAAAACGTGGTATAATATGTTATTCAACTAAATGGGTAATGTCAACTATTTATTATCATTTCATTTTGAAATGTCCCTGCACCTTATAGTTATACATCTAGTGATAGAAACTTAAATCACTTATAAATTATGGCGGAGGAAGGGAAACTTTTAATTCTCCTAGATAAAAGACAAAATTGAAACAATTGTCCTTCCACAGTATATGTTTTTAAGAAGGAAACTGTTCTATAAATATGACGCTGGGCACTAACAGGTTAATATATTTATATTTCCTAAATGTAGTAAATTTTATGAATTTAATTAATCACAAAATTAGTTTTTAAAATTAATTTCATTAAATTTAAAAATTCATAGCATTATAACTTAAAAATATTTATGGTTTATACTTCTTTAGTGTTATCAAATTTTATAATTTACAATTCTTTAATTTAAATTCTGTTTACAATTTAGTATTTAGGTCAATAATCCAATAACGGGTGTAAAAAAAAATCAAGTTAGTGCTTACAAATCTCTCCCTCCCTCTTTTTTTAAGATACTATTTAAATGTTTAGAGGTTTGGTAAAAAGAGCTTTCGCAGAAAGATATTATCTTAACAAAAGAACATTAAAAGATGGCATCCCCTCCTACATCAAAAAGCCTCCACACGGCTTTTTGTAAGTAATCTGCGCAGACTGCTTAAAAAGCGAGCCAGGTGCGCGCATGAACCCAATTTCTATTATAATAGTAATTAAGATATATTAGATATATTTAAGACATATTTATCATATATATTTGAAAACTGAATCTGTAGTGGTTGACAAGTAAATAGGACAAACGTTTAATATTCATAAATTAAGCAAATTTTTAAACATGCATTTGCTACCACTTTCTTATTTTTACTTAGATTTCCTATTAAATGGCTCTTTCGTTAATTGGTTTGCCTGCATAGTAGTCTGATCGGACTATCTAGAACAGGGGTTTCCAACTTGCATGAGGCCGGGTGCCACAATTAAAAACACAAATGAAATGGCGGGCCGCAACTTGGTCAAAATTTTATGTAGGACTCTTTTATGTTTGAAGGAACATTAAATATTACTGTAAGATTTTTATCAAGTTGTACAAAACAAAAGTATTGAATTATAAATTAAAATAAGAAGTAGATTTTCAAAAATATTTCATTGCTATTAATAATATTTTTAAAGTATTAAATAAATAATAAAAATTCGGGGCCACAATAACTTTAATGTGCACCTATGTATTAAGGAATTAATGTACAACAGACATCTAATTGTTAAGATATAAAACTTTAAAAAGGTAGGTATTTAAACTTACATAGTAGCACACAAAATGTTCAATGAGAAAATTGAGGTTTGCAACCACCAGAGAATAAATATTTACATTTAAAATTTACAAATGTGTGTGTAAATATTTTCGTCCTAAATGAGTGGTTTCAAAACGTTAACTTGGAGAATTTCTTCGAGAAAATTTCTGATACGCACATGCTAAATTATATTCACAAAATACAAAAAAAATGAAATAAAAAAGAGCAACATACACAATTATTTTTGTGTTTGAATAAATATTTCCTTGGATGCAAAACCTGAGAAATAAATTTTTTGCACCGCTGGTATGTTAAATTTCACAGAAACGTAGAAATTAGACTTTCATTAACAAGAAAAATATTTTATATTTTTTACCCATATAGATTTTTTACGAAAATTGTCCGCAAAAAATGACAACTAATATATTTTAGCTCGCGGGTCACAAAAGTCTCCGCGGGCCGGATGCGGCCCCCGGGCTGCCAGTTGGACACCCCTGATCTAGAAGAAACCTTGTGGAGGCATTGATAATGATCGAAAACGCAATTAATATTCGAGATTTTTTTTTTCCACTATTCAATTTTTTTATACAATTTTCAGAGTTCTCTCCAGAAATAAAAAAGGGCAGGAGACTGCCTCTTAGAGAAGAGCACTATAAGTTTTGAAAGAGCACTCATTCAGCACCGCAATAATTTATTAAAATTTTTAACATTATTATGTAATAACTGAATTTGATCTTTAAAATTTTTTAAATTATCCTCTAATACCATTTTGTGTGTATATGCCGAGAAATAATTCTCTCTCATTATCAGAATAAACGAAAAATTTGTAGTTCAATAAACGACATGCTAATAAGTAATCTCTGGGTGTACATTTTTTTTTCAAAGAAAAAGTTAGCTAATCAAAATTATTGATAAACAACTTGAATGATTTTCATATAATTTCAACTGAAAATTATGAGAAAATAGACATTTAAAGTAGCATTTTTCTTTTCATAATTTTTCGTGTTTCCATATTTGGTACAGAGGTTATCCCGGTCCCTGGGAGTGTTTTTGATGGTCTGTCCTAAATGTTTTCATCATCACAAAGTCTACCGAAAAATTCCCTACCTCCCAAAAGTGGTCGTAATTAGGAGTGGTCGCTACACAGAGGCGGTCTTTTCTGGAGGTTTCACTGTATTCAATAACTATATTATAGCTAAAATATCTAATGTTGCGCACTACGATGGTTTAAATTATTTTATTACTACAAACTAACCAAGGAGTGAAGCTCATCATAATTTTAATTCAGGCTTAACATATTCAAGAAATTTAATAAGTTTTTATTTTTTATATACATTAATTACAAATTTGTTGAGTTTTAAAAGCACTTTCATTTTATTTAAATAAACTTAGGATATAATCGAAACATATTCATTAAATACTAATTATATGACGAACAGGATAATAAAAAATTATAATTCAAAAAATATATGTTACTTGGTACAAAAGATGCTACTTGGTTAAAATACATAGGTAAAAATGACAATTCCAAAAAATTCAAGCATGATGTCTTACATTGCGCTAACAGTTTTGCCAGACCTTTCAAAACATTTGCTGCTAAAAGATTGTTTACATAGGGTTAGTAGATATAGAAGTGTTCATATATTTTGTTGCCCATCTGTATGTGCATTAGTAGGCAAGAAGTTCTGTTCTTTATTCGAAATAGTCGAATAATATATATTTAGTTTCAGAAAATATTTTTGCTTCTGATAGTTTTAGTTTTAAACATAAATGTGATATTGCAATAGCGTTTCCGTAGAAACGGAAAATTAATATGTTATTCAGCCTTTATTCAGTTATTAACCTTTACTCAGTTGAATTCATAATTCAAGCAAACAAGCAGATGATAAATACTTTATTAAAATACAGTGAAGAAAGAGAAATTTCTTCAAAACAAAATTTTTGAAATAATTTTGTGCTACTTTCAACGATGATTAATTCCTTAGAATATTCGGTAATCTTTGATGGATTGATATTCTAATGACCTTAAGAACTTCAGTGGTCATGAACTAGCCTTCCAGCTTATATTTCTTCTTCAGTTCATTCTTCTAGATGCGTCGTACATTTTGCGTGCAAAAGTATAATTTGTAAAAGCATTTTCTCAACAGCTACGCGTGACGTAAACCACGTGTTCATAACCGATAAAAATAAAATTTGTCTTTTTTCTTGCATAGCAAATTCAATTGTTAAAATCAGGAAGTGAAGTTATTTTACGTGATAATAATAAATATTATCGAGGTTATTTCAATTAGTTTGAGAAAATGAAGTACTTTGAGTAATTTTTACGTTTGCCAGTTTTTTTAAAAGAGAATTTTGTCAATGGAAAAAGTGCACTTTTTGTGTCATCTTAGGCTGAGTTTTATAAATTAAATATCTATTGTTTAATTTCTAAGTGTTTTGCTATATTTTTGTTTTTATCCTATTTTCTACAAAGAAAAAGGTGCAAAAGTAACTTGTTGCAATTAAAAAAATTAAATAGCCAATATCAATTTAATCCCAAATGTTAAACCATAAAATTCGCTGAAACTTTAAATAATCGAGGGGAAAAAAATCCCGTAAACCCTGAAAAGTTGGCAGGTCCAGTTTCCTCATTATGGATTAATTTTGATAAAAATGCTGTCGCATAAGTATCGTATATTTAGAAGTTCTGCTTTGATTCAGAACTTTTCCTAAATTTTTAAAATTTATAAAAACAATTATGTTTTAAAATTATTCAAATATAAATAAATGTATGCGGAATTACCAACTTTCTACGCTTGTGGGAAAATTCCTTCTAGTAATAGGTATGATTTGATGTATGATTCTTTGTTTAGTAAATTTAAAGTAATTTTTTCAACTACTACGTGTAAATAGCTTAAAAGTTCATATGAAACGTCACTTTCTTATAATTATCTCCTGGTGAGACTTTTATAAAGCTGGCAAAATTACAATGATTCGGAAAACTTTTTTTTTTGTTTATTTAGCACTCTTTTAAATAGTTTGCAAAAAGCTTTGTAGTTGTCCACAATTTTCTGATTGCCCACGTATAATATGAAAAACTGGCAAGCAGCCAAGAAAGACTTAATAGGGGTGAAGCAACGGTGACTCAAGGAATGAAGAATTCGCCTCCCAATGTGATAACCTCGGCTCGAATCCTAGCTGTGGCAGGTTGATAAGAATTCTGCTTGCTGATCGCAACGACCGCAGTTCTGACCTAAAAATATTTTCAGTGCTAGATAGATTATAGTATTATGATTTCAACTTTTATATCTTTTTCAAGACTAAACTGAAAAAAAAAATTAAATTTAAAGCTACTAGTTTTAATTCGTATATATAAAATTTCGAATTTTTATGTGCACTTTTTGCATTTTTAGTAGCCCGTGGTAACCCTAATAACATACTCTTACACGTCGATGAATGTTAACTTAATTAACTTTTTTAACAATGATTGTGAATGTTGACTTTATCACTAATGTGAGCTGCAGCTCATACTTATAAAAAAATGTTCGTTAATATGCATGTTATATCTTCAAGAAAATTCACAATAGTGTTTTTCTCTTAATCCTTTTTTTATTGTTTACTTATTTCATTCACGGGGCATAGTGAAGCAGAGGGAATTTATCGGAGCAAAGGATCTAAAAATTAAAGTAGATTAAAAATCAATTATCGAAACACACAGAGAACTATTGTTTATAGAACAAGATGGAGAACAATATTTCGTAATTTAAAGTATTTTTCATACTGAGACCCCAGCATTAAATAATTGTATAAAATACGATTTTTTATGTAGAAATGTGTTATGTAGAAATTTAGAAGAAAGCAATTTTATAAATAAACAAATTTTTTAATATAAATTTCCAATGGTTAAACTCAAAACACAAATTTTTAGTATAAATTTCCAATGGTTAAACTTAAAACAATTTTTTAGTATAACTTTCCAATGGTTAAACTTAATAAAACAATTTTTTAATATAAATTTCCAATGGTGAAACTTAATAAAACAATTTTTTAATATAAATTCCCAATGGCTAAACTTAATAAAACAATTTTTTAATTATTTTCTAATATTGCATAAATAATTATAAATCACAATTTTTACCTTATTTACGATTGTAAAATATTTTTGTAGTGTATTTCTTCACATTTTGCACATGAAATAAAATCTATAAAACTCAAGTAATACGTCAATTATGTGTCATAAAACTGCCCAAAAGGTTACTTAAATCGAATTTTAAATCTTTCTTAACCTTTTTCGTTGCAATTAAAAATTTCAGTAAACGAGAGTAAAGCCAATTGCATTTTTAAATTGATAATCGCTTTTTTAAGGCATTCAGAAAGAAGTTAAGTGATAATTAAGTGATAACCAAATGTTTTCTAATATATTGATCGCAGGGTCTTAAAGAGCTGCAAAATTTTAGTGAAGTTAAACTTTCAGAAATATTTGAGATCTGGGTTATATCTTTTTAAGTCAATGAATGCTTATATTAATAAAAAATCATTCCTTCGATCAGGAAATTTCGGAGTAACCCTTTGACGTAGATTTGACTCCAGTGTCCCTTTTATATATTTTTTCTGACACTTGCTGGTTGCTACCCTGTATTTAGAAGATTTTCAATTTAACGCAGAAAAGGATATTGGTGCTTAGTAACCAAAAATTGCTAAAATTCTAAATACAATGTTTTTTCCCTAATATAATATATTTAATGTTAAATATAATATATTATTATAATATATATAAGAACATGAGTTCACTCCTTTATCTCGATTTGTTGTTGCTTTATCGGTAATATTATATTAATCCACACTGTGGTTTAGAACATTCTTAATAATAGTTATCTTCATTATGCTTTTATACATATGTCTGAGACACGTATAGCGTCAGTATGTCTTTCTGTGTTTTCTACATCACGTAACGATCTAAAGATAATTTTTACGACTTCTTGTCATTCACTTACAAATCAATGCCAAGTTACCACACTTTAAACGGATATCCTGGCCTTTATTAGTGTCTTCTCATGGTAATCATTCCATCATAAAAAAAATGCTGATGGTATCTCACAGAAGGTATTGAGATCATTGTGTTTAACGTAATCGGTAACCACAAACGATACGATATGAAACGATGGGATTTCGATTCCAACTCTCGGTTAGCTAAGCGCAGGCGACATCTTGATCTGACCTTAGTAAAGTTCGTGAATCTTAACTCTCGCGCTTCACTGAACTCAAAACACAATCAGGTAAGGAGCAGAAAGTAGGAGAATCGAACTCTCAAATTTATATAAGCTACTAAACAAACACAAGAAACCGATTTCCAGAACAGAAAACGATGCCTTCACTTTAATTCAGTTTCACATGAACGATCGGCATAGAACACCAAAATTAATCGTCTGCTCTCTTAATGAGTATCGCGTATTGATATTTAGTCACGTGATATAGGAATTTTTTTTTTCTTATAGTAATCATTTGAAAGTGGAGTTACAAAGTTTAAAGCGTGGACTGGACGGCGGGTACGGTTTTGATTTGACCCGCTATTGCTCCGGTTGTTGGACTAGGTTGGGGCGCATCTTGAGGAGGGGATCCAACTGCGAAAGCTGTCGAAAAAGAGTTTGCAAGTCTTGTCGACATTTCGTGGGACAGAGAGATTGGATTTGCATCCTTTGCTACAAGAAAAAGTAAGTTTTTTTTTCCTTTAAAAAAAATTTCATTCTAACATAACACTTTTTTGTTTCTCTTGATTTGTAAGTTATTTTTAGAGAACAAAATAAGCAATGCCTAGATCATTTTCATAATTTGGTGTCATTTAAAAATCGGAAAAATTAAAAAGAAATTATAATTTGTTACAAGAGAATGTGCAATTTTAAAAAGAAGACAGTTAAATACACATAATTCACCTATAAAATTTAATTGGTTTTTTAAATAGTTATTATAATTTTTTGTATATTATTTTTATTTAGTGGCTGAATTTTGTAATACGATGAAAATTTTTGTTTTTACTATTTTTTACATATTCTAGGCAGATACTTCCCATATAACGACACAGGACCACATACAGTTATATGGGATTGATATATAACTATATCGGTCAGAGTACCTAGGATTACTATATAACTATATCGGTCCGAGTACCTAGGATTACTATATAACTACACAGGACATAACCAGAGATACATGGAATTACTAAATATCTACAAGTTATAATAGAATTACTATATGCATATCCCAAATATAGAACTACTATATAATTACATAAGACTGAACCAGTTACATGGGATTCATAGGGCAAAATTTTTAGAAATCTTTAGAGTTCAAATAAAAACAGAATTAATTTCCTTGCTTCTCAAAAAAATATGGATTTTATATTACAAAATTCAAATGAATTTATTTTTCATTTCTTGAAGTCTTAACTATTTATGAAATATTCTTGAATATGGAAAATATGTATAAAAAATTTTGAATTTTTAAATCTTGTTATCCAAATATTTTGACTGTTTGTTTCAATACTTTAAGCTGTAATGGGAATTATATTCCGTCAACTACTTCTAAGACAGACTCTTTATAAAGTAGAATATCTCTTAAAAATTTAAAATTTTTGAATTGCTTATGAACCACATTTTAAATAACGTTACATCTATTCGGAATCTTGTCTAATGCTTATACGGGATGCAGAACGGGTTTTGAAAACCCAAATCAGATTTAATTTTCATTTCGTCCCTGTACCTAATATTATATAGCCAGCAAGAATATAATATAGGCAGCAATTATTTCAACTTTCAATAAAACAGATTTTTATTCGTATTCTAAGATCTGAATACCATTTTTATATCTTACTTGCTGAATGCCCGTTCTTCGCACGGGATGAATAAAAAATAAGTAAAGTATCAATAAATCACAGTAGAGAAACTCTACGAAAGCATGCTCAACACTGAAAAGCATATAGCGACACAATTAAAGAGCTTAATAGAAGAACCAGGTAAGTGACATTTTTAGGGGAATTAATGAATCACTGGTTTTGCCTTTCTTTAAATCTTAACACAACTAATCACATACAGTTTTAGTATGCAAGTATGATTTTTTATTTCAAATTAGGCAATAAGGTTTTATTTAAAATTAGGCAGTAAGGTTTTATTTAAAATTAGGAACAACAAAGCGAAGATTTATTAGTCCCGTCATCTATTAAATTGGTAATAAAATAGTTCGGATACAACTTTTTTTTCATTCTGAAAATGTCACTTACCTGCTTCCTCCACTAAGTTTTTCAATTAATATGGCTAAAAAAATTTCATTTTTTTATTTAATATAATCTGTTGCCATTAACGGTGGCTTTACGTTACTGAAGTAAATAAAACTTGTTTTTTGTAGTTCATTCCATTAGAATAAAAAGAAAATGTATTTAGCATCATTTGGCATGATGCTATTACTCGCGGCTAAACCACAATAGCCGAAATTAACCATTATCAAATAATTTTCTCCGGTACAAATCTTTTTCGAGGGACCGTTATAAAGTATCGGTATTTAAACGGCTTAATATTGGCTCTGTTTTAATCATAACCAAATGTATCATTATAATATTTTATATTTATATTAGCATATTTGGTACTTATTACATAACCCTTTAACATTTAAGTTTTGCGAAAAATATATGTGTCAGTGACAACCAACTAAAGCCGAAATTTTTTTAAAAAATTTGAATTCTTAGTAGAACTCGATAGGGATTTTGGGGAATGGCCATTTCTCTATCTAACCTTTAATTTACTATTAAGATATTTAGTAGTGGAAGAACAAAGTTCTTTTGTTCTCATTCATTAAAATATTAATAAACTATCTTTGTTACCACAGGAAAAATATTTTCTGAAACCACAGAAAAACCGTTGTAGAATTCTTATCACAACTGCACCAATTAGTATATTACCAGTAGTACATATTACCCTTAGGTATACATATGAATTAAGCATCATCTGTGAATGGTGATTTTCTGCGGTTTTCCTAATCAAATTTTTAATTAACCTTTTCTCCTTTATCTTTGCTTTTTAGCGCATAGCTTATATTATTTTATTTCAATAAATACATATTTTCAATATTAGTAAAACATTCGTGTCAGTAATAAGATGTCAATTCAAAATGAATAAGTATCTTTTCTCCAATATTTTTGCTATAATTTTGATCAGTTTCTCATGTCAATTAACAAATAACCAACATTAATTAAGCATCATTAATTAAGCATGATAATATGACGATTTCGTGCGCTTCTTTTAGACAAATAAATGGATTAACTCCATTACTTTTTCTTTCTAGTACAAAGCTTATTTCTTTTGTTTCAATATGCATATATAATAGTTAAATTAATTAAGCATTATTGACATCAATTACAATGTGGCGATTTATTACGTTTAACCTAAACAAATAAATATAACATCCACATTAATTATGCCTTTAAATACATAAATATTTTTTTCTATTCAATTACCGCTGATTTTAAATTAATATTTTTGTGGAAAAATGTTTTAAAAAGAAATTTAAATAAAAAAATTAAGGCGCGGTATCAGACAACTTCAAAAGCATAAATTTGGGGATGTAGCCCTCGTGTGTTACCACATCATTATTGAATTCATCTGACGTAGCAAATATAAAATAATTCCATATTTAAAAACGTACAATAAACTATTTTTTTTTATCAAATAGAGCTATAAGCTAGACATTATCACGGGTGTTATTCTCAAAATATGTAAAAAACTGATGTGTCTATAGTTAAATTTAAAACAATGACTAACGTTTAACGAATCGAAAAATTCAATTTCGTTTTTCACACATCCCATTAGAACGGTTTGTCGTAGAACGCTCTAATATCGACAGTGACCTTCCTCGTGCTTCAAACTATCTGTATGCTAAGTTTCATCAATTTCATTTGGATGATTTAGGACTCTCTAAAGGACACACACACATAGAGAGACATTCATTTTTGTAGATTAGATAGATTCACATAGATTAGGCATTGGTAAATAAAATAAAGCAAATAATTATTAGTCCCATCTTCTAATAAATTGGTAATTAAATAATTCGGATGGATGTGTTCTTTTCTCATTCGGAAAATGACACTTATCTGGTTCTTCCACTAAGTTTTTGAATTAATATAGCTAAAATAATTTTTTTTTTAACCTAATGTTATATGTTGTAATCTTCGGTGGCTTTACGTTATTGAAGTAAGAAGAGCTCTTTGTTTGAAATTCATACCAATGGAATAGAGATAAAATGTATTTAGCATCTCTTCGCATGATGCTATTGCGTGCGACCGATTCCTGATAGTTAAAATTTACTAATATTAAGTGATTTTCTCAGGTGCATATCCCTTTCGAGGGATCGTAAAACACTTAATTCCTAAGTATAGGTATTAAAACTGATTGGTGTAGTTTTAATAATTCCCAAATATAATCACCTATATAAGTATATTTGATACTTATTACATAACCCTTCAACATTTAACTTTTGTGAAAAATGTATTTATCAGTGACAGTCAACAAAAGCTCTAATCCCATCCCTTATCAAATACAGCATTTTCCTCGTTGGCAACGAAGACCGGAAACCAACTGAGTTATAAGCTAAACAGAAATACAAGTTTAAAAGCAAAGTGTTTTTGTATGCAACCTAATCTGAGCTTTTGTTTTAACTATACTTAATTTAAGCGTGTTGTAGAGGAAGTTAGAATTATATTAGAAGTTTAATAATGATTATGGGTGTTTGTAATAATGGGCAATACCTTCTATAACTGAAAACCTCCACACGGTTTTCTTATAAATAGTTTGATCACTGCAATATAAACGCAAACCTCTTTACGAAATAGACATTTAATACAAATCCAGTATAAATAAGAAAGTGGTAACAAATAAATGTCTAAAAATTTATTTAATTTATGAATATGATTGGTTTGTCTTATTCACTTGTTAGCCCCTACAGATTTAATTCTCAAGTATGTATGATAAATTTCTCTCAATCACTTTGAAATAAGAATTTGAGTTCATGCGCACAACTGATTCACTTATTAACTCTAGGTTTACAGGACGCGTCATTTTGACGCTTTTCGAGTTTTGTAAGGAAAATTACAAATCCCGTTTGCATTTATATTTTTATCTCTTGTAATGACTTTTATCCATTGATCGAGGTAAATATATATTGAAGTCCATTTTCTCCAAAAGTGTTGAAATAGTGAAATTCTCCTTGTGGTAGGGGAGAGTGGGGTCAATTGTAACAATTTTTACTTAACTATTTTTAACTAATGAAAAATCCAATATATTATTAGTATTNAATGTACCGACAGTACTTCGATCCGTTATCCGATATCGTTATCTCAAATGAAACAAGCGATTAACAACTGTTGCCGATAAGCAATAATAGAAAGAACAAACGCAGAATAATAGTAAATTACCACTAAGTAAATTTAGTAAATATAAAGTGACGAATTATATAATCCTACAAATTATTTAGAAATAGTGGAGGTTAAAAAATTACTAAATTGAATTTATTAAATATGTATTCGTATATGTATGTATTCCTTCATGCGTCAAATTGACGTGTGTTCGCAGAGATAGGTAGATAAGAAACGTCCGTAAACCTAGTGATGTATTCGTCAATGCGTCAAACATTTCGGGCCTCCCGCTTTTCTTACAATCTTCCAAATGAA